GGGAACAGAGGAAAAAAAGTCGTATCTGAAGCATTCAAGAGGCTGCTCAATGTCGGAATACATATGCAATAGTCATGTATCGGTGTCCCAAATAACAAAATTTTAGCACCCCTATACGCAGAAGTCTATAATTAGAAGCCTTGTTAGAAAGAGACGGTTATAACTGTTATGTGTGATGTATACAGTTGGCCTACAGTTCCGAGCCAGTTGATAGTCAGGCGGAGGGACATTTCGTGGGGCGTATTTCTTCCATGGGAAACAAGGCAAGGCCTCAAATACATTGTGTGGTGTGCAGGAAACCCGGGAAAAAGGATAGAATCTATTTATTGGTGTAGTGTTGTGTTTTGATGATGTTTCAAGAACTACCATACAAAACTCAACTTCTAATCCACTTGCTTCCACTGATCACACACAGGGTGCTCATCTTATAAGGTAAGATTATAAAACCATCTTTTAAGAGGATTGCAGTGAAAAATTCATAATTGTATCTCATATAGTTCAAACGTTATGATAAATAAAGTATTTTCGAGCAAAATTTAAACGGGCATTTAAAAAATACTACCGCCGGAACAGCACAACAGCGGTATATGCAGGGTATTTAAACCTCCACGGCAGTGGGTTAAGCCATGTAGTGCTTTGGCTGTATTTCAATGTTTTAGAAGAACATACCACCTCCATGTTCAGGGATGAGGTAGAGAGTGTTAGGAAACTGAAGGTTTATAAAGTATCTGAAACATTGGCATAACGGCAAAATAACACGGCACAACAATCCAGAAGACCACCAATGATACACTCCATAAAATTATTACTTTCTTACTGCATAAATATCAGAAGTACACTTACTTGTCAGGATGTATAAGAGAGCGGATAGTGACAGCAGCATTTAAGCGTTGCTTCACATCCAGATAACTGGATGGTTCATCAAACATGAAAATATCTCCATCCTGAATGCAGACCATGGCACAAGCAAAGCGTTGGAGCTCACCTCCAGACAATGCTTCAATTGAGCGATTTCGAATATTTTCTAAATCTGAAAAAAGTTACAATATTTATGAAGTTAATACATGAGGAAAATGATAGCTCAATATATCCAAGTCTTTTGGGCAAGACACCTTACAACACATGATGGCATAGAGCAGCACTCAATAACAAAAACATATTTCACAGTAGTACATGTTTACAGCCCACTCAATACAGTATGGGCCCACAAAGAACATAAGAAGACCAGAGTGAGAGAACAGCATAAAATACAATTGTATCTTCCAAACCAGCTTACCAAGAAGTTGACATATTTCATTCTGATTCTTGCGTTCATCCTTCTTATCTAATAACTGCTGGACAGTGCCCTTCACAGCTTTGGGAATCTGATCCACATACTGTGGCTTGATCAATGCTTTCAAGTCATCCTCCAAAATTTTTGTGAAGTAATTCTGGAGTTCTGAACCACGAAAATGACTCAAGATCTCTGACCAGTCTGGTGGATCCTGAATACAAATTTTACAGTTAATATAATTGTGTTTACTTGCTCAATTTTATCAGTCTAATCACAATAAAATATTATTATTAAATGTTAAAATATTATTACAATTAACATTTAAATATTTAAAATATATTAAAATGATGCTCTCTATCGAAAT